TTTTGTTAAAATTCTGCGTTCTCGCACCTCATGGAAAACGGCACATAGACTCTGTGGATGTTTTTTTTTAATTTTGCTTTTTCTTCTTTCCTTCATTACCTGAAGTGACCAAATGCTGTTTGTAACATCCTAGTTGTTGTGCAGACAGCTATAATCTTACAAACAGGTGAGGGGAGAAACAACAGGAGAAGATGAATTTCTAAGCAAAAAAAGATTTGCATTTCATGGAAATATCCTTAGCATTCTATGGGGGAGCAGCAGGATTGTTTGCAAATAGGGGAAGGTGAACCACAGTTACTGTGTAGTTAGACTTTCCATGAAGATCAAGGACTGTGTCCTGCCATTGATCAGTGAGCTGAACTCTTATTGACTTCCGTGCAATGGCAGGAACTGGCTTAGAAAGAAGCACCTGAAGTGGAAGATGGTGAGAGACTGAATTCATTGGAACGCTGTTCAGCAATGGCAACATTTCACTGTCAACAAGCTACTGGGGTAGCATCGCCATGGTAGCAGTGATTATGGATATGTCACGGCCACTATGGAAAAGTGGTATCATCCCCATATTAGGGGTTGTCACTGAGGATAAGCCTCTGGTGGAAGCATCCTCTCCACTAGTTGTCACTAGAGGTGCTAGTACAATGAGAATAAAAAGTGAGACAACAAATACAAGCCCAAACCTCCCCCTGTAACTGACCGTGTGACTGTATTTGTACTGACCAGAAACAAAAAATGACGTTACCCTCAATTTCAGCCTTTGTCTCCAAATTTACAGTTCTATTTAACTATCCTCTAAAGAAGGGGTGGGCAAACTTTTTGGCCCAAGGGCCACATCGGGGTTGTCCAACTGTATGGAGGGCCGGGTAGGGAAGGCTGTGCCTCCCCAAACAGCTTGGCCCCCGCCCCCTATCGGCCCCCTCCCACTTCCCACTCCCTGACTGCCCCCCTCATAGCCCCCAACCCATCCAACCCCCCCTGCTCCTTGTCCCCTGACAACCCCCTCCCGGGACCCCCACCCCCGATCCAACCCCACCGGCTCCCTGTCCCCTGACTGCCCCAACCCCTATCCACACCCCCGCACCCTAACAGCCCCCCCCGGGACTCCAACTCCCTATCCAACCACCCTCTGCTCCTCATCCCCTGACCACCCCCTCCCGGGACCCCCCGCCCCTAACTGCCACCCGGGATCCCACCCCCATATCCAACCCCCCCTGCTCCCTATCCCCTGACTGCCCTCCCGACCCCTATCCACATCCCCACCCCCTGACAGGCCCCCCAGGACTCCCACTCCCAACCCTCCCTGTTCCCCATCCCCTGACCATCCCCCCAGAACCTCCGCCCCATCCAACCGCCCCCTCCTCCCTGACTGCTGCCCCCCAGGATCCCCGCTCCCTTACCCAACCCTCCCTACCCCCGCTCCCTGCCCCCTTACCAGCAGCAGGAGCTCACAGCCGCGATACCTGGCCAGAGTCAGCTGCGCTCCCCACGCTGCCCAGAGCGTGGCCCGTGCGACAGCGTGGCTGCGGGGGAGGGGGGATGCCGGGGGAGGGGCCAGGGACTAGGCTCCCCGGCCAGAAGCTCAGGGGCCGGGCAGGACGGTCCCGCGGGCCGGATGTGGCCCGCAGGCCGTAGTTTGCCCACATCTGCTCTAAAGGGTCAATTTTCACAGTCTTAACAAATAAAGCATTGACTTTGCAATGCCAACGCTTGTCTGAGCCCTTCCTGCAGCAAGCATCTTTGCAAGACTTGTCTCCTTGAACATTTAAACTGTCAGACCTAATTATCCGCCTTGGTTCAGCTGAATGGAGTTTTTTCCCCTCTGCCAGCAGCAATATTTTGAAACATAAACTGTATCCAGAGTTAGAAGCAGCAGTTTTCTGAATCACAGATCTTATCATCGTCATGAATTCGCCTCTTAAGCCCAAAGTGTCTCCTTTGTGAAATACGGCTTTGTGCAAAGACTCTCCAAAGGGAGGGCTCTGCCTGCTTCACCCCAGCGGGCAAAATGTCCTAGGGACAGCAGGGCTGGTGGCTCTTTGTTTTTAAGAAGCGAGATTGGTTGAATTGTGAAGCATCAGTGTCATTACTCTACCTCTTGCCTTTCAGAAAAGCCACCGCTGGATGAGATCACCTTGGAGAGAGTGCTGGAGGAGCTGGAGACGATGTGCTACGAGAACATGAACAGTGCCATTGAGACGGAGGAGGGCCTGGGCATTGAGTACGACGAGGACGTGGTGTGCGATGTGTGCCGGTCCCCGGAGGGAGAGGATGGCAACGAGATGGTTTTCTGTGACAAGTGCAACGTCTGCGTGCACCAGGTGAACGACGTCTCGTCGTACGTGGGCCGGCGCTATCAGCGCCTTTCAGCCTGATGCATGTATCTGGCCTTTGATTAGCTAGAACAAACACAGGCTTGACATTGAAAGTCTGAAATAGCAAAGCATGGTACTGGCTTGGGCACCCTCTGCCATTCCTGCTGTGACCAGAGTGCTTCACCCCACCTCTGCACCTCAGATAAACGTTCTGGGGTCCCCTGGAGATTTGCTACGTTCTCTTAAAGGATTGTGCATGGGGCGGAATTCTTTGGTCCTTACTCGGGGTTAGGGTGTACAGCCCTGCATCGGTGCAGAACAGAGCTGCAGCAGCCCAGAGCACACACCCGAGAGGCATTGTGCCTTAACGGGAATGCAGAGCACAAAGCAACATGAAGGAGTGGGCACAGCCGGTATTGCTCCCCTTATGTCAATGGTTCTCAAGCAGGGGTACGGGTACCCCTTGGGGTACGCAGAGATCTTTCAGGAGGATGTCAACTCATCTAGATATTTGCCTAGTTTTACAACAGGCTACATAGAAAGCACTAGCGAAGTCAGTGCAAACTAAAATTTCACACAGACAGTGACTTGTTTATACTGCTCTATATACTATATTAGAGTTTCTCGCCCTGGGGGTGGTGATCCCCAGAGGGGCTGCGGGATGGGTTTAGGGAGGTTGCAAGTGCAGGCTGGCATTAGGAGTGGCAGGCAGGGGCCCCGCGGAGCTAAGATACATGCTGAAGGCCAAGCCCTGCTGCCCGAGGCTGAAATCAGACTCCTGAAAGGGGTACAGTAGTCTGGAGAGACTGAGAACCACTGCCTCATGGAATGCAAACCAGGCTGCTATGGAAGGGGCAGATCATTGCGCATTCTCCTCCTCACCTCCCTGCCCATTTACAAGTGCTCTGGCACTCTCTCTGCTGTTCTCCAGAGAGTAGGGAGGGATCAGAGGGACTGTAGTTCTGCCTAGTCCTTCCCTGGGTCATGCATTAGGAGGAAAGGTTCCTTGCACCCACTGCCCCACACGTTGCCTATGGGCCAAACAGCAGCTGGCTCTCAGCTTTGACTTAGTAAGTCTCCCTTGGAATCCTGCAGGGCTTTGTCTGAGTAAAGATGGAGGAAAACACGAGTAAAGATGTCATGATTTGGTTGTGATGCAGCAAACCTCACAAGTGCATGGTGCACAGTGCACATCCCTAGGTTCATAGTGGGACACGCTTTGCCTCATGACACCATGCCTGGCACATCCAGAGAGCAAAAGAGGGGTTCGTAGACTCTCTGCTCATGTAATATTTGTCTATCTTCTTACCTTTCCCTGCCCTGTGTTTGTCTGTACCCATTGCTATTTATCGTAGGCTGTGCCTTTCCCTAACTTTATTCTGCAGTCTCTTGTCTTCTTGTTTTGTCTGCTACCTCCTATTCTTTGCTATTTGTTCACCCCACCCTTTCCATTTAATGTGCCAGCTCTCTTTCTCTCTCCCCATTAAACTGCTCCCATGGGAGCTTTACTGACCATGAGTGCCCAGAATATAGATGTGGCTACAGAGGGTCTCTTTTATGCATCACTTGAGGTATGCTTATTGCAGAACTGGACAGAGCATTAGTCTGTGCATTGCAGGCAACACTCCTGCATTGGCCAGAAGGATGGACCAATAGGTTTCTCCTCACATTTCTCTTCTATGGCGCTGATCTTATAGCATTGCACTGTGTGTATAAGCAACCACCCAGATTCAGTAACATTCTCTCACATGACAGGGTTTATAGCCCAGCCTGTTGTCGGAATGCAGGATTGGATTGGATTGGATTTTTTTTTTTTGCCTGAATATTTGTTTTGTAGAATTGAGTGATAACGCTCCAAGTACTTGCTGCAAGGAAGGAAGAAATATGATAGTATCTTGTGCACTCATTTGTATGTCTGTGTGCATGCCATTTTGTGCAGGAGGGTGTGTGTGTGAGTGGGTGTGTGTATGCTCACATGCTCTAGAGAAGCCAATTTTCCTACTAAAAAAAAAAAGCCAAATTGAGTAAAATTTTCAGAAGCACCCAGATGACTTAACAACCTAAATGCCATTGAGTTTCTATGGAACTTAGGCTCTTAAATCACATCGGTGCTTTTGAAAATTTTACCCACTGTCACTTCAAGGGAAAGAAAATTAGTTAGGTCACAAAGATCAGGTCAGCCATCAGATATAGATATTGATTAGCTGAGTTTGAGGCATAAACAAAAGATACCTCTTTAGATTCGATTACATACAGTATTTGAAGGTGTCTCTCTTTAAATGGGTCTAGTGCTGAACTTCACTGGCAGTATTTGTATCAGAGCTTCCAGGAAGTGGGGGAGCTTTCAAGATACTTGTTGTCAATGTAGGAGGATGTTTTGGATGGTTTTCATCAGTGAATCAGATTCTGCAGAATATCAAGATGATTCAGAATTTTCATTACAAACCTATGGTGGAAAATCCAGGCATGGAGATAGCGCACCTTTCCCGTGCAACACAGGCATGGAAACAGCACACCTTTCCCGTGCAAGACAGGCATGGAAACAGCACACCTTTCCCGTGCAAACACAGGCATGGAGACAGCCTGCCTTCTTTGTGCAACACAGTCATAGAGACAGCATGACTTCCTTGTGCAACACAGGCATGGAGACAGCACGACTTCCTTGTGCAACAAAGGCATGGAGACAGCACGCCTTCCCCATGCAATACAGGCATGGAGACAGCACGCCTTCCCCATGCAACACAGGCATGGAGACAGCACGCCTTCCCCGTGAAACACAGGCATGGAGACAGCACACCTTCCCCGTGCAACACAGGCATGGAAACAGCTTGCCTTTCCCGTGCAACACAGGAATGAAGACAGCATGCCTTCTTTGTGCAACACAGGCATGGAGACAGCACGTCTTCCCTGTGCAACACAGGCATGGAGACAGCGCACCTTCCTTGTTTAACACAGGCAGGGAGACAGCGCACCTTCCCCGTATAACACAGGCGTGGCGGCAGCACGACTTCCCTGTGCAACACAGGTGTGGAGGCTGTGCACCTTCCCCATATAACATAAGTGTGGATACAGCGTACCTTTCCCATGCAATGCAGGCATGGAGGCGGCATATCTTCCCCGTGCAACGCAGGCGTGGAGGCAGCACGACTTCCCCACGCAACACAGGCGTGGAGGCAGTGCACCTTCCCCATATAACAGAGGCATGGAGGCCAACATCAGGGAGGATTTTGCTCTTCAGTGTATGTGCCACAGCCACCTGAAAGCAGAATGTGGCAGCTAAGTAGCATTTACTCATGCGAGTAGCCATAGGGGCTTCGTAGGGTCCAGTGGGTCTACTCACATGGGCGGGAGCTTCTTCCATGGGTAGGGGCTGCAGAATTAGACACTAGTGGCCTGATCCCATGCCACTGAATACAAGTTAAGCCTTTCCATAGACTTCAGTGGCCTTTAAATCAGGTCTTAAATTATCAGCTAAGTCTCCTGCCAGACCTCTACACTAACTCTAAGCTAATTTCTGGCCTGACTCACACTGCAGGCAACAAGGTTACACAGGTGTACATCAGGGTAGCGGGACCTGTGAGTCTATTCCTTACCTAATCTCCTGTCCCTCTGCATCCCCCATCACACATTTCTAACCTCTATTTGAATTCTCACACAGTGCTAATGGGCCATGATTTCCCTACTCCCACGAGAGAACATGGTTACACCCCCCAGTAACGAAGGAGTTGTCATGTCGGGTGGGCTGTGTTTCCTCTGGAAAGATCGGCATCTGGTTCCTGCTGCATGGCCCGTCACATCAGGCAGGCAGGCTGAGCCAATAGCCGGTCTCGCCCCTGTGTATCTTACCTACCAAGTGCTGATCCTGCCCGCAAAGCGGGTCACCATCATTTTCTGTGCACCGTCAGATTTTATGAACCCTCTAAAAATGAGAGACAGAGACTTTGATAAGATGGGAAAATGGAATGAGCTGATCTTGGTCTGTTCACCTCGGAGCGCTTTTGTACATTTCCCACTCAGGCTGATCTCAGGTGAAGATCTGGAAGAAGTGCTGATGTCCACTTTGCAAGGGAAATATATTTTCATTTGAAGATTTTGCAGTTAGCTCCTTTTCATACCTCCAAGCAAGAGATGGTGTGCAGCTCATAAATGGCTATTCTGTGTAAGAACACACCATGCTGTGATGTTGCTTCTGTGCCATTTGCAGAAACGGGAATGTCAGGAAGATGAACATTAAAGGCAGTTGAGTGAGGAATTCATCTCTTTAAGAGTTTGTTCTTCTAACTGTACCTCTGGCCAGTGAAATCCATGCTCTTCAAACACTGTGCTTCCAGGATGAATGAGCATGGAAGATAGAAAGAGGGTATTGGATTTTCTTAAAAGGCACTGAAGTAATTGGAATGATTGACATACTAACCTACAAGCCAACTACACCTCTCAACCCACCAGAAGGGAAAGCACAGTATCTAGGACACCTTGTGAATTCTGATGCTGCTTGGATTAGAGCTTGGCTATATCTTTCTGTTAAGTATATGCAACTCACTGAATGGCAGAGGATCCGGTGGAGAACCTGCAGCAGCCATGTTCTAGCTTATCTGGGGGGGGGCAGGTTGTCTTAGCACAGCATCACCTACTGTCATGTGGGAGATCAGTGAAATGAATGCTGCCAGTCCTAGCATAGTTGGTTTTATATTACCTTTAAACTTTAAAATGTCTTATTCAGGGGACTGCTAATGAGATAGAGCACCTTCCACCTCTAGGTCACTGATCTGAATAGGACCCAGACTTGGAAGGACTGAAAGCTATTGCTATTCCGGTAGCTGTTCAGTAGCCTGTGTGACATGAGCCTATGGTCTCAGTCTAGTGCCTGCTGGACAGATGTCCAATTTCAGAGTCTGCTGTCTTCACTTGCTCCCTCCTTTGATGATCTCAACAGAGAAATCAAGGCCTGTGAGAGAACAAGTCTCTCAAGAACACGTGGAAGGCCTGTTAGCAGAGCAGCACTGGGAAGCCTGCACTACTGCTGCCTGGCGTGATGCAAACACGTTTGGGTATTCAGGTCTTTAATTAAACTACATGGCATATCTCTAGGGGCGGAGCATCAATCCAAATCCGATAGATAGATAGATAGATAGATTTAAACCAGTTGTCGCTGATTGATTCATGTCTGCTTTTAATAGTTATGACAATATCCAGATGCCATGGCATTAAGCCACTCGTAAAAATATGCAAGTAAATGAATAAATACAGGAGGGTATTGGTGGGGTGCCCTTCCAGAGGAATGTGTGGTATAGCTAATGCAACCTTTCTTGTGTTTGCGTAGGCTTGCTACGGAATCCTAAAAGTTCCCATTGGGAACTGGCTTTGTCGAACCTGTGCCCTTGGAGTTCAGCCAAAGTGTCTACTTTGCCCGAAGAGAGGGGGAGCTTTGAAACCCACCCGGAGCGGGACAAAATGGGTCCACGTTAGCTGTGCCTTATGGATCCCAGAAGTAAGACTTTATTCAACATGTTCTCCTGATGTGGGTGGGTGTGGATTGTAGTTCGTCTTAGCGTGCCCAGTACAGTCAACAACCCTGTACTATTATCACTTGTTTCAAGTGTTCAGTGGTAAGGGGCAGGTAACTTGGGCTGGCATTTTCAAAGGAGCCAATGGAGTTAGGCACCCAAATTCCTTTGAAACTACCTAAACCTACTTATACATAAACCTTTGGAAATCAGAGCCCTGGTGATTTCCAGCACTGATCTTAGAACTTTCACTCGTGTTCTGTGCGGCAGTTCCAAGCTGTGCTCATAAAGTCTGGGCAATATAAGAGCAAGATGCCAAGGCATGGGAGTGAACCAACAGCAGGTACCTACCATCCTGCTGTCTGTACCTACCCTTTCTGCTTGTATCCCCTGGGGAATGTCATTCTTGTTTATATCACAGCTGCAGTGTTAATCTCTCCACATTATGAGCAATCCTTTACCAGGAGGACTATGTAGGGTTTTTTTTATTACAGTGAACTGATAAATGACTTAGGTGCACGTACAATGCATGCATGCATGGCACTCTGCCCTCTGACTGCATGCAGCACATGTGTTCCTGCAAGGGAAGTGATTGGGAGGGTGTGTTTTCGAGCAATGGTTTAGTGGTATTTCCTAGTCCTTCGGCATGGTGTGCCAATAGAACAACATGGAGGCACACATGTACCAGCATCCGCATTTAGTAGAGAAATAAAGAGTAACGTGGAGTAAGTGGAATACATAAAGAACAATACAGCAATGGGTATGTGGAATTCTTTAAAGAAGAATTCAGGCTAAATCACTTTGGGCTCAACCGTAAGCCCTGTTACATGGCCGTCCGGGGCACAAGGGTGCATAAAGAGCTCCCTTATTCTTCTGCGTGGCTCACCCACATGTCAGAGCCTATGTGGGAAGGAGAGCTGCCATGCCACCTACTGCACAGGTGTGTGAGGAGTGGGTGGTCAGGGGCAGGGAATAGATGGCACTTCAGACCCACATACCCCCAACACGCCAGCTGAGGCGCAAGAGCCAGTGCAGGGGGAAGTTAGCTGCACCAGCACAAAGGCTGCTTCAGTTACTTCCCCCCTGGAGAAAGGGAACAGCAACAGATTGTGACCCTCAGGATCACAGTCGTGTGCCTGCCCCGCTCCTGCGGCAGCTCAGGTACATGCTGCCCCTCACGCAGGCTGGATTGTTAGGGGACAATTCAGCCCTGTTGCGCTCTGCCAGGGAGAGCAGACATGCCCAGCCTCTAGCTGGGTTCGGTCACACTAAGCGCACACGCCAGTTCACCATCGATAACAACACACCAGAGAGGATTCAGCTCAGAGGTGGCATTTGGCCTTACCCTCCGTGTTCCTGCCATTTCATTCAGCTTCATAGCTGAGTTTTTTCACATGATGGGTGATGGTAGAGCCGGCTTTTAGAACATCCTTCTCTCATTCTAGCCCCCTCAGGGAATCGAGCTTTGCATTATCCCAGGGAAGATGCATGATGGTAACTGGTATAAACACATGTACTCTGTGTCATGACTAGGTTAGCATCGGATGCCCGGAAAAAATGGAACCCATTACAAAGATCTCGCATATCCCAGCAAGCAGATGGGCTTTGTCCTGCAGTCTCTGCAAGGAGTGCACTGGAACGTGTATTCAGGTACGTAACGCTGCTTAATGACGCCCAGGGCCAGGTTTTGCTCTTGAGAGCCCTGCGCATGCACTGGAGGGCATGATTTGTCTGTTAGTTTGGGAACAAGTTTTCTTAGTCACTGACAGGGAATAAAAGTAACAGCTGGGAGCACAAGAGCCAATCAGTTGCCACCAGTTATTGTTGTTTGTAATGTTTTAATACCTGAAATGCTGCAAATCTAAATAAACCTTGTTCGTTCACCATGATGCCGATGCCATAGTGACTCTGTAGTTACAAGGACTGACAATGACACTGCTCTAAAGTCAGAAGCCGGCTGTATTAATATTTCACATGCCAGTGGGGCTAGGAATGAAACCTTTCTACCATTGGAAAGCCAGAAAGCTTAGCTCTCCAGTGTTACAAAGAACTGCACTTGATTTGAGCCCTACCAGCTCACGAAATAGAATACTTAGAATTTACACACCCCTGTTTTGTACCTATTCTATAACACAGTGGATCACAGCAAATATCCTATTCCCTACCCTTCCCACAACAATGCTACATGCTTTCATTTTGTCCTGTGGAAAAACACCGCTGTTACAGAAAGTTCTGCTAGGTCAGGGCACTGACCCCAGAAGATCCTGCTCTGCCTGTAGTGGTGAATCCCTCCTCAGCAGGTGCAGAGGGCTCTGACTGCAGCAGAACAGATGTGGTTCTTCTGTGCATGGTGGGGGAGCAGGGTTTGTGGAACCTTGCCAAGGGGACTGCACCACTGCAATCCTCAGAGCCCAGTCCCACATGGCTCCCTCCGCTTCCCCTTGGTTTGGTGCGGGGAGGGTGAGCCAGGGGAAGAGCAGAAGGGCTGGTGGATTTGCTGCTGCACCGCGTCATTAGCTATTGCTTCCCCCAGTGCTGAGGTGGGATTTGGCCCTTAAACATCAGACATAGCAACAATATATAAGTGACAGAGAGTAACTAGCCGGTTGAGGAACAGTGATATGTCTTATGAATAGAAAGAGCTGCAAGCCTCCGTGGTGTTTATGCAACTGCAATGGTTTTAATACTTTAAAGGGAGCTATTTAAAAGCAATCCTTTTAGCTTGAAATGAGATCTCACCATATTTCTTTAAATCTCCAGCATTGACTCACTTCTTTTTTGATGGCACTGGGTGGATCTGCTTATTCACCCTGCCAGATGGAGATATTGTGTCATAATGGCAACTGCTTTCAAAGAACGGAAGGGCAGCGAAAGGAGTCAAATAGACTTGGCAGCATCAAAAAGAATTCAGATTCTCTGAGACTTCATCCTCTTAGCACAGGCATCACACGTTAGCTGTGAGAACCTTTGGATTGAACGGATTTGAATTAAAGGTCACCTGAAATGGAACACAGAGTTTTATTGTCTCGTGTGCTGACAACTCACAGTTTATAAGTCTCCATAAGATTTCCACTGGAGTGTTTGTCAGTGCCGCCATAGCTCTTGCAGAACAGCTCTGCGGAAAGGAAAAGGAATGTGCAGACGGTGCCTTTATTGAAGGATTTAAGGGATGAATAAGCAGCAGATTCACACGTAGAGGTAAATAAGCGTTGTATCCTCTGCTCTCATCAGAGGAACAAAGGCCTGTGTTTGCAAAGCCCTTATGTTTATGTAACGTATTTTTGATCAGTACCTGTTTATGCAGGTGAAATCTAACCATCTTTGTCACCACTATAATTTTGTGACAGCTTTACAGGGAGAAAATCTTTTTGTTATAGTACTTAGGCCCAGGTCTTCTAAGGTGCCTAGCTCCCATTGATTGAAATGAAGATCTGGACCTTAGCGCTAGCTCCTGAGGATAGGAATGAGATAGTTAAGGTGTGCGCAAGTCAGTTACAGCTGCAGCATTAGAAGAAGCTCATTTCAGAGGCTTCCGGTGTTAGCTTTTCTTAGTGGCCAGTTTGACTGGTTTCACTGACCTGGCAGAGTAAGACACTGGAAGTTGAATAGTGCCTGGAGAAGAACTCCTTTGTCTCGAACAAGCCGGGGGGTAGGGGGAGGAGGCCTTCTCAGTTTCATTGCTCTTCTCTCCTGATGTGTGGAAACAGGATCACATTTTAATAAATGGAGACTTCTTGTCCACAAATGTGTACATAGTTACTGCAGTTGCATGTGCAAATGGAGCAAACGTTCATGCAGATTGTAAGCTAGTCACCTAACTAGACATGTGCACCCCTGTCTGTGGAATTTGCATGTGCCCCCAGGCTCCATACTTCTAGAGAATTTGCCCCACACAAGCTGGCAGTTGAATCATCAGCCTAATGTTAGGTAACAAAGGGGATGGTTTGGGAGGAACTTGTTTCCCCCTGGCTGATATTGCTTCAGGCACATCACTATCTTCTCCTTGTTTTTACTTTTAAAAAATCGTGGGCCAAATCAAATCAGCATAGATCCATAAAGCCAACGCCAGTTCACACTAGCTGAGGATACAGTCCTGTCTGAGCAGTTTTCCAACTTTCTGTTCAGGGGAAATCATGACTTCATAGTGGTTCTTGTGGCTAGACGTGAGAATGTGCCAAAAAGAGTGCTGTATCCTCTTGGCATTTTCTTGTTTATGTTGCTGAACCAAAGAACAAAGTATAAGGAAACATACTGATTACATATCCCGAAGGTACTGCAATTCCTGAGAATGCTGTGCACTCCAACTTGCAAGACGGATTCAAGCCCCCACGGCAGGTCAAAACAGGGACTGGTGAAGCATTGGACCCTTATTGGCAGAGATTGTCAGTGCTCCTCTGTGAGAGGGCCTGTTGCCAGTTTTCCATAGATTGGCAGCGGTTCGGCCTTCTGAAGACAACATCTCTTGATACTACTGTCCTTTAACCTTCCTTCTTTGGGAAAGTGATTTTGAAGGTTAAAGGCAAGCAGCTGTGGTGTCATCTGCCATTTAGGTAGTTCCTTAACCCTTTTCAGTTTGGTTTTGGTTTGGGTATAGAATAAAAACCTCACTGATTTCATTAGTAAGTCGTAGTTGCTGGCAGTGGACAAAGATCAGGTGCCAAGAGACAGACCTGCTGCATGGATAAGAGGCCAGTGTCTGCATCAAGCCAAACCCAGAATGCTAGGGAGAAATGAAGACTATTTGATCACTAAAGATTAACATCCATTTACTGAAGAACCACAGCTATTTGTGAAAATGTATTTCCCAAAGTCTGCAGTAGATACGTTAGTTAGTCCTGTTCTGGTCAAATAGGGAACCATTCAGTGTTGAAAACTTAAAAAACATTTTTTGGGGGAAATGGAAATGAGTCCAATGTGTACTGTCCAAGATCCTACCTGTGATGTTCTTCCCAGTACTGAACCAATGCCCCAGCATCATGCTAGGGCAGTTGTGATGCTGGAGATCCCCTCTTCCAGATGAGACCTAAAGCTGAGGTCCAGACCACTTGTGGTCACTGAAGATCCCATGGAGCGTTTTGTAAGAATACAGCCATGTCAAAACTGTTGCCCTGACTGTATTTCAACTTTGGTAATTACATTCTCTCTCCCTAAATGCCCCCCTCAGGTTCTGCTGGATACTGCATTTTCATCACCTTCTGCCCTAACTCTGTTGTGTAGCATTGCTGTGAGCTGTTAAGCAGCTGTAGCGTTCCGCAGCTAGAGGTGGCTGGAGTTCATTGGTGAAGAAATATTCCCTATCCCTCTACTCCATAAGAGTGGTCTGAAGACATATTAACAGGTCAAAATCATCTCTGGTGCAACTCCATTGGCTTCTCTGGACTTACATCTAGGGATGGGCTTGGCCCATCGCCTCCAAAGTACTTGGAGATACTTGGATGAAAGGTGCTATACCAGGGGTGGCCAAACTTACTGACCCTCTGAGCCGCATACGATAATCTTCAGAGGCTCGAGAGCCAGGCGTACCTGCCAGGGCTTGGGGCTTCTGCCCTGTGGCAGGGTGGTGCAGCTAGAGGCTTCAGCCCTGTGGGAAGCGCCGGCCTGGGGTTGGCCTTCAGCAAGAGCGGGGCTGAAGCCCCTAGACCCCCTTTCCTGTTGGGCAGAATCCCCCGGCCCCACCATCCCGCTGCAGGGCAGAAGCCCCGAGTCCCCTGTCCTTCCAGTCTGATAGGTGGAGAGTGGGGTGGGGGGGCTCCGCGAGCCGCATTTTAACTACAGTTTGATCACCCCGTGCTATACAGTAACATTATCACTATGTTCTGTTACTGTCATAAGTATTGTGAGATCCAGTGTGCTACCCTAGCCTGCAATACCTCAGCTCATTCAGCTTGTCAGACTGCTGCCTCATTCCATTGGCATTCTGTGCTCATGAATGATTTGATGGATCAATATGTTTTTTATTGTCAGTTTATGCAAGGTCCTTTGGTAGCTGCTGTGGAACAGGTACCTTTCATTGTTGCCCTGTCAGCTGAGCTTGCTAATTATTTTCTATTTGCATTTGGGGCACAGTCTCTGACAACTGCTGCTTGCCATCTGTCAAAGGAGAAATCCAGGACGAGTGTCATTCGATTTGTTTTATTTCTAAGGTAGTGCAGATAATCTTTCCTGTGTAAAGGGCGCTCTGTAGGCTGTTGTTTTGGCAAAAGCCACAGGCACTTGAATAATGATATTAATACTGTTTGTGACGTAAATAGTCAGGGAGGAAGGCAACACTGATGCATCCATTTTTTTTTAGTTTGGTTCACTAGAGCCAGTTCTGGGTGTCCACTTTTGTTACGGTACAGTAGCTAATGATGCACATAACAGCACAAAGGATCTTCTCAATGATTTGGTTTAAAGTGCCCCCAGATGTTACTCCAATAAAGATACGATTGACTACATCAGTAGCTAGATAGCTCAGTGTAGTAAAATAACCATTTTGCAACCAGACAAGAAAACTCAATCAAGGTAACTTACAGCTGGCAAAGGTGTCCAACCTTAAAGTTCCGTTAGAGTCAGGAAAGTGACTCCATCGAATGACATTGTATCACTTTGTTGAATATATTCTGTCCCAGTGACTTTCACAGCAAGTGTACGCAGCTTAAGAACCAAAGGAAGATATGCTGGCTCTACCAAAAAAATCTGGCGTCTGATGATCAAGCTGGTATCTCTGCCCCTCATAGCATCAGCAGAAATAAAGATTCTGTATTCAGAACTTTGCTAGCACTTCTGTCAGTGTATTAAGCAAAAAGACTCCCGCTCGCTCTGCAGTAGCAACAGTGGTAGCCATCAAAACATCACCATTTACCAATGGCTACCACACAGTGTTATCTGGTGTACTGGTGTTGTTTCTCAGTGTTGGTATAGGGAAATACCATGGTGTCTTAGTTAGCAGTGCTATGTGGTAACTATAGGTAAATACTCACTTTTTAGTGGAATTTGCTTTTTTTGATACACATTAACACAATTAGAAATCAGGTATCCACATATTTAAATCTATTAAGATCGGGAGACATGGATTCAAACATGATTTGGATTGTGGTTCAAATGGGCCCAGTAATCTCAATCTAATGCCTAGTGGGCATTTGTCCACATCCCATGATGTCCAAACTCAGAGCTAGATAAGTTCCGTGGTCTCTTTCCACCCTGAATGTGACCCCTGTTGGGTACTGTGGCACAACTGGCAACCCCTCTTCATCAGAGATGTCTGCATAGAATTAATAGCAGGCGTGCGAAAGGTCAGGATGGAGGTGATCCAAAGCTGACCGAAGTCACTGCAAATCTTTCCATTGATTTTAATGGGCTTTGGGAGAGCTGTGTGAGAGGTTAACTTGGACACCACTTGCCTGCTCTATGCCTGGGTCTAGTTAGTCTCTTGCTTTCATAAGCACCGGCAAATTTATAAACAAAGTCAAGGGGAAATATCTAAAAACAGCAAGGTTGAAAGCTCATGTGCTCTGTAACTTAATAACAGGGCAGGAAGCCAAGACCGATGGGACAAAGAGAAAAAACAATAACGTTTTTGCAGTTTAAATACAACTGGAATTTGTATTTTTGAAAATTAAAACTTACCCGAAACCTCACCAAAAATGTGCAACATCCTGTATTTTTGTCATCAGCCTTCAGGAAATATCAGACGTTTTAATGTGGTCATTCGTGCTGGAACTGCTCACTCCGCTCCCCCCACCCCCAGAATAATGTTATATAAACTGCTAAATGTGGTGTCTACAGTAATAAGCCCCTCAGAATAGCTCGTTATTGCCGTTTAACTGGTCATTAGCAGCTGAAATAGACTGATTTCGCATGGATTATGGCTTAAATAATTACCTGACACTCTGAGCCATTAAAAAATAGTTAATGAATAGAGGAGGGCTGGGGAGGAGAATGTGCTGAAGTGCGTACAGCCCACATGTTAGCTGGGAAATGGGTTGGCTTCAATGGAAACTCATAATTTAGGTTTTGCTGCCTGTAGAATCCAGACAGAATAATTTAACTATGAAGGAATTTAGCAAAATTGTTTAAAATTCTAATTTAAAATAACTTTGGACGGCAAGTTAATCCCTGTACCGATTTTAATGTTCATTTTCACATTGTCTGTTCGAAATAAGCTAGGGTTCCATTTTCTTTTCTTCTTTTTTTTCCCTTCTTTTTTTCTAAAGCTAACTAGAGGGAGTGGAATTTCAATAGGAGCTGCTTACTTATTAATGAAGGCCCTGTGCTCCAGGAGCGTTAGAAGCTCCCTAGATTCCTGTTTTACTCATGGACTGTGACCCCCTCTCTAGACTTCAGATAAAATTAGCAAGACCATTTTTAGAGTTAACAAAAAGAAAACTAAGGTAATTTAGAGAGAGAAATTACAATAAGAAATCAATTAATTCTCTGTCGGGAGAGGCTCATTTACCCAGCTACAGTCATTTGTCCGTAGTATTGGACCATAGTGTTGACAAGAACAGTATTGCCTATTTTATTGGATGAAGTTTATTTTTATAATAACCAACAGAAAGGCCTGGTTTATGTGGGGGGCATCAGAAGGGCCATAGGGATGAGACTGAAAGGAACCAAGTGGAGGTAGCAGTTTAATGAAGATTCTTGTGCTTGAAATTATGGTGGCCAGCCGTACACACATGAGATTTGGGAAATATACTCATTTCTCAGTATGGGTGTCTGCTCTTTGTACAGGGTCAAGTTCTTACTGCTTTTCTCTGTCAAGCAGCTGGGTGCCTGGAGTAACGTGTAAAGTCACTTATTACATTACATACAGTAGGGTGATTCCTTTTATAGTCAGGCCAGGCTCACACATCTCGTCGTCCTGTTGCAATGGCCAAGTGCCGCTGTAGTTAGTGATGTCTTATGTACAGTGATTTAACAGGAGTAAGCACGTTTCCTCAGTGTGCCATGATGGGCGGTGAGTGAAATAACCTGCGTTCCCTGCTTTGTCTTTCCTCCAGTGTTCCATGCCCGCCTGCATCACTGCATTCCACGTCACTTGCGCTTTTGACCACAATCTGGACATGCGGACTATTTTAGCGGAGAACGATGAAGTGAAGTTCAAATCCTTCTGCCTTGAGCACAGCAGTGGGGCCACCAAACCTCCAGACGAGGCACGAGCAGAGGCAGACCAAGCCCAGCTGGACTTGGAAAAGGTCACGCTGCGAAAACAGAAGCTCCAGCAGTTGGAAGAGGATTTCTATGAACTTGTAAAGCCCTCCGAGGTAGCCGAGAACCTCGACCTAACTGAGTCGCTGGTGGATTTCGTTTATCAGTACTGGAAGCTGAAGAGGAAAGCGAATTGCAACAAGCCACTGCTGACACCAAAAACAGATGAAGTGGACAACTTGGCTCAGCAAGAGCAGGATGTGTTGTACCGACGCTTAAAGCTCTTCACACATCTCAGGCAAGACTTAGAGAGGGTGAGTACAACTTCTGGTTTAAGGACCTACTCTGTTGTTCTGCGAGGGCTTCTTTAATATGGGCCAGTGTCTGCTGGAAGAAGCTGTCTTCATGTCTGTTGACCTAGTTAGACTTCCTTGACAGTCACTTCCCTTCCATAGTTTATGGCCCCGAAAAAGGCCTCACTTACACTTCTGCTCTGATCTGCCTGTTTGTTATCAGTGACTAGAATTCTGCATAATGCAGCTCATTAGCAACCCTCCAGTCATCCCACTTCTTACGTTCCCTATCTTTAAGTGTAGGTGTTCCTTTTAAAATACGAACAAAAGTTGTATAGGCTTCTCGGTCCAGTCCATTTCTTAGTGGACATATGCATTCATCACAAAACCACGAGCGCAATTGAGACAGTTCTTGGCAGTCTCAGCAGAGAGGTCTAAGACTGAATGTGCCTGGAGTCCGGACTCTCCTCTCTCCTCCAGATGGGGTCCCCCCAGAACAGAGGAGAGGCATGTTGGGAGTGCAGTGCAGCCGAAAACCAACACTGCAGCTATCCATTTTGGGGCTGAAAGTCCCAATCCTGCTCTTTGATCTCCAGGGGCGCAGGATTGGACCCAAAATAGAGGTTGTCCAGTGTTGGCAATTCGGCACCTTCCACCAGCATGACATTCACATTAAAAACAGAAATGTAATTTACATATTGTCTAAAAACAAAACAATATGGACAGATAAAATGGTAGAAGTGAACTGCAGGGCTGGCGGGACTGAGTGTTTCATGGCTTGGTCCAGCTGTCTCCATAGCGCGAAATGGGGCACCTCCTCTGGGAGATCTCTGAATGGACAGAGCCTTATGACACATGCCACCTGGGGTGTATCACACTAAACTCCGCTGAGGCAGGTTCACTGCACGTCAGACCATCCCAGGTCCCCTTCACAGGCTGGTGGGCCCATTGTTTGACCTGTGTGTTCTGTATCTGACGTGAGTTTGTGGAGAGGAAGGAAAACCCTGAGGGCTTCTGCCTGTTGGCTTTTTAAGGAAGAGTCAATGTCAGCTAAGTTACAATAACAAATGATTGTGACTGATCTCGCACTTAACGCCGCCTGCTCTCCCCTGGTGCGTCTGCTGCTGGCTCGGCTTGTGTATGCAGGCAGCAAAGGGAAATTTATAAGAGACCTGCTTTCTGAAGCACCAGGCTGTTAGCACTCTTAAATTCTTGTAAATTTCATTTTAATGACTGCATACAGGCACGGAGCTGACAGAAATAGTAGGGTCAGCAGAGACAGTATGAGCAGGGGGGGCAAGGTGCCGGGAGAGACAAAAATAGGAAGGGGAAGAAGCAGTACAAAATGTGTAGTGAAATGACACAAAATTGGCAGTGGGGAGAGAGAGGGATGCCAAAGCACTGAATGGCTATGGAAAACCACTGTAGCAGGAAGGAATAGTGCCCAGGAAATAGGGTCATAGATTTATGGGAAAGGCCTATTAGAGCATGGGGTCCATGCCCTGAAAGTAGAGAATTTAGGCCTTCAAGGAGGACATCTTAGATGCAATGCAGCTTACACGGCTGTGCCAAATTTAAGGCATGGGTTATGGGAGGCTTATATGGTACTGAAGGGAAGCTGGACAGAGCTAGAGGGAAACTAGGACTTCGTTTCTTCTGCTACGAACCTTCCTTCCTCCCTATATTCCACACTTCTCCTTGCTGGTGTGTGGAAGGACTGCCCACCTACAAAGTGCCATCCCCTCTTCTACTTCAGTCCGTGCAACCATCAGTGCTATCCACTCTGCCTGAATCACTCAGCAGAGGAAACAGCTGAGTTCAGCTGGGGATTAAACAGAGAGCACAGAACACTTGCAGGCCAGCCCCCAGCTGCAGTTTGGCCTGGTCTTTCAGGAGTGAGAGAGAGAAAGGAGCAGGTTGGCAGAGTGGCACAGTTTGTCCTGAGCACTTAAGGGGAGCAGGTGGGATAGGAGGGAAGCAGGAAAAAGCGTATTTTAGCTTGTGCTTTGATATTGCCATCTTTCTCAAGCTAAATAGGGATGGAACTGGTCAGTCCTTGGATGGAAGACCTCCAAGGAAATTCCAGGGTGCAGCAGAAGGTGGTGCTGCTTATTTGGTAGGTGATGCTTCTTGGAGTGGGCCATGGTTGGGAGTGATGTCTTCCTTGTACATCCCTTTATCTACCTCACAAGGCTGTTGTGAGACTTAGTTAGTGTTTGTTTAGTACTTTGAGCTCCTCAGAAGAAAGACCGAATAGAAGAGAAGATTATTAATTATTATTATTTTTAGGACAGGGAATGTGTTAGCCTTGAGCTAACCTCGCTCCTGTCTTGTCCATTCTGGCTTGGTGCATCCATTACTAAGAATGGGATTTTAAATCAGGCACACTCAGAAATACTCTCTGGATGCTATTGCTTTCCAGGAACATTGGGACTACAGATAAATCTTTGCCTAACTGATGTGAAAGCCCGATCATCCAGAAACGTATTACAGTTTAACGCAGCCTAAACTGAGCTACTTGCTTGTGGAATTTAGACGCCAGCTTTGATCACCCTGGTCTTTCTCTCTGCCTTTATGTGACTCACTTACAGACCCTTCTCCAGTTGGAAGCTCTGCTGGATGCTGAGCTGTCATTTGAATCCTGTGTCTTTTCTACGGAAGTATCAATTCTTCTGTCTCCTTACGAATATTGTCAAAGTACATCTTCACCTACACTCTCCGTTCCTCCCTCCGTTGTTCATGCCTGAACTGCCATGATGTTTAGATCAGTGTAACACACTTTCTGCTGGGCTCCCCGTACACTCCATGAATGGGATGTGGCTGGTACAAAATCCTGCTGCTGAGGTTCACACTGGCATGAGGCAGGACAACTTTAGGTGCCAGTCAGAGTCCTTAATATCATAGCAGGGCAGTAGCACTAATGGAGTTGAGTTTGAGATGAGATTTCTGTTTAACAGCTTGTTTGTCTGCATGCTCTAAACTCCACATACATATGCAGGTTGTCTTGAAAACTGTTGTGCCTCTCAGAATCTGGGGTAGCTTTAGTGGTGCAAATTTGGAGTCATTTGGCCTTGGAGTTTCTGAGAGACAGAGGTCCTAAAGAAAGGACCTGAGAATAACATTTTCTACTTCTTGTAATGTTTTTTGCACACACCCGTGGCTCAAACTAGTGCACTGATCTGCCCCAAACTGATATCACCCAGTCGGGTTCAGTCTTCGCTGATGCCCAACCCCACTGCTGCTTCAGAGAATTAAGATTTAAAGAGCTACTAGGGGTCCAAGTTAGTTTTGCTAAGTGGCTCGAGCCTTGGGCAGTGTGCTACAGACTCTGCATGTGCCATGAGACTGGTGCCGTGGTGAGCAAAGGTGTGCACGGGCATGCTTGATCTCAGATGACATCAGGTAGAGATGTTCTTATGGGTGAGGTTGTTAGACCATGTCCTTTTTGTAGTGGAGATCCATACAGAAGAATAGAGAGAGAGACAAGACTAGGGAGAGTGGGCTAGAGAACCTGGGGTGTAGACTACATGACCTAATAGATATTTGCCATCACTTAACAGCTATGATTCTAGCACTTTTAAATTTCCTTTTCAGCAAATTTCCTCTACTGAAATGTCCACTTCTCTGTTCCCAGAACTCTAACAGGATTTTATTTTTAACCTACTCCAAGTATTGGTCTGTTTAAATCAGCTTCAACAAAAAGCTCTACACTTCCAAGGGGATCAGGTCGGCATCAGAGATTGGCCGGGGGAGGCAGGAGGGGTGTTGTTTAGTAGTGTAAATAGCAATCTCTAAGCAGAGGCAAATAATGTTTTCTTTCAAAACTACAAAATCATAGAGGAAAGATACTGCCAAACATTTTGATACACAGGTTGCCAGAGGCAGTTGTTTTCCTCATAAAGAAATTTCAGTTTGATGTTTGCTTCAATCCAGAACAAAAAGAAGGGCACATATTAAAATATAAAATATATAAATCACTTCTTTATATTATAAAAAAAAAAAAAGACCAGCTTTCCCTCCTACAAAGTAAGTGCTTCCCAGTTATCCTGAGGTAATTCCAACACCCCTAGATGTTTAGATAATCATGTATGACTTTGTAGCTTACAAAGGAAGGGATTGGCAGTAAAGCCCATCTCATCTCAATACCAGAAAGATGCAGTCATATTGGAGGGAGTTCAGATAAGAGCCACAGAATTGATGAAACGGCTGATTAAAGAGCTAAATATGTATAGCATGGCTAAGCAGTGAAAGAAAGAGGACTGGAGGACCACCTACAATCTGGGAAGGACACAAACGTGCCAAGGGAGGGAATAACTATTTTGGGGGCTGCAAGGGGATATCACTAGAAATAACAGAATCAAATTTAGAAAGGAAATAGGCTGAATATTGGGAAAATTTCCTGGCAGTGAGATCAATTACACTGAGGAATAGTTTTCCCAAGAGAAATAATGGATGCCTCACTGACTGGGACAAACTGCTAGAAAATGAACTGCGGGTAGCAATCATGCACTTGCAAGGGGATGGACTAGATAATTTAATAGGTCTTCTCCATTTCTGTGGTTCTGTTATCTCCCTCTATCCCTATTTAACAATTTATTTTTAATATTGAAAAAAACATCATGCCATTAGCAAATGGCCATGATTGTCCTCCTGCATTCAGAGCCTTTGAAAAGCATAATAATTGTTTGAGCACAGGGGCTCTCCGTCTTTAATTACCTCACTTACAAGCAGTTGTTTTGTTTGTCTAGGCTGTTATTTACAATTCAGATCCTGGAAGCTCACTGTCAGTGTGAAAATTCATGGACATTAATTCATTGGTAAAGAGCGAGCAAATGCAGAGCATGGGGCAAATGTAAATACATGATGTCTCCCCATTACCACGGGCAATGAAGCTTTCAGAAACAGCCCGTGACACACAGGACTGCTGTTTATAATTTTGGTAGCCACATTAGAGAAGGTGGGGGGGGGGAGAAAGGTCAGGTTTGATGTGTCACTATTAGAGACACAAAGGCTCCTGAACACTTTCAGTCTAGGTAATCTGTGAGTCATACACAAGGTCTGCTAAGTGATTTGGATAGAGCAGATTGGGAGAAAGAAAGAAAGAAAGAAAGAAAGAAAGAAAGAAAGAAAGAAAGAAAGAAAGAAAGAAAGAATTTATTGGTGTGTCAATACAAGTTATTGAAAATTTCCTTGTGGCCAATTCACTTCAATGTCAGTTCCTAGGAACTAACTTTTGTCTCCTAGTTTATTGCCTTCCTCTTGAGCCCCCATCTAGCTGTGGCTTTTGGAAAGTCAGGAGGCTGAGTAAACACTCACTGTCAAGTCAGATTAGATTCCATTAGCATTTTCTGTTTTACAGCAGAGACAATACATTTCCTCTAAAAAATATTGACTCTCTTCCCCGCCCCCCCCCCAAGACACAGCCATGGAGACAGTGTCAGCCTGTCACTCCAACCACAGATACTTCAGGCTGACAAAAACTGCAGTGCTTACATTCAGCACAAGACAAATGTTAGCTGGTATCACTTGGCAACTGCACCATCTTTGCAGGCTGCCGAGGGAATTTTGATCAGTAACCTCTGCATGTGCATCTGACATTTAACCAGCGGCACAGAAGTTCAGATGAGCAGCTTACACATTAGGGACCAAATCCTGCCCTCACCAGTGGAGCAATGGAAAACAGAGAGGATGCCTGTTGCATTTTTTGCTCCAGGGATGCTGCCGGTCAGGGTTGGCTGAGAGGTGTCCTCTGCTGAGCAGGAGCAACATGTGCACCCATTGTTTGCTAGTTAGTGGTTTGCAGCTGATGGCAACTTGTATGGGGGTGAGCATGCCACCTGACTCACAGACCCAGCCCTTGTGGGGACCTGAGCTGTGGGGCTGTGTTTTAGGTGTGGCCAGCTTTCTGTGTCTCTCATTAGAGGGCAGGATTGAACCTGGCACTGGTAAAGATATCAGAGCAAATTCAACTTTGAGTTCCCCACATGCACGTCCATTGAGCTCATCCATTGTAAATGGATAGGTCTTGAGTGGGCTGAGACAGAATATTAATGAGAGCAGAGCTTGGCTCATCAGTGACTGGAAGAACCAGGAAATCAGGTGGGCTCAGGACGGAATCAGAGCTGCGCCTCTGTTTACCTTACTCAGTGTCACTGACAGTGCGTGACAAAAGGCTTGAACCATAAACAAAGTCTTGTTGGAGGAGAGCAGTTATTTTTCACCCTGCACTGGACTGGAAGAGCAAACAGAAGAGGGCTGCAGTTCTTCTGCTTGAGGACTGATCCTGAATTCAGGTGTCAGTCCTGAGCGCTGGAGTCCTGGACATGCACCAGCACAATGACTGTAAGGAAGTAACGTAACACTTGGGCTACTTTTTCCTCCCTCTCCCCTCAGTCTATGGCTGCCTTTGCTTGTGCAGGTTTTTACTTCCCTGTTGAAATTCCTGAAGTGTACAGTACTTAGCGTTTCTCTGGAGAGGGATGGGGAGGTTACAAGTATTGGGACTTCAGGAGAGTGACAGTCCTAGAAGGTTTGGGACAGTTTCGACCTCTTGATGACTAGACTTATTTCTGAAGCTTTGTCATTTGCACACAGAAAGTTTCTCTTGTTTTGAACAAAGTTCTCCATGTTGGACAAAATACACAGCAACTAAAGGCAAATATTTGACTTCTATGAATAAACAACATATAGGATGGTGCAGTGAGCAAGATTCTAGAGTATATTGGCATAACTTTTGTGACGGGTTCCCCCTGGGACGCCACCTGGAACTGGGGTACGGCTGAGCCCGCCTGACCCACCAACCTGGGCTCCCTTTACGCTGTACTGCTGTAACAGTCAATTTTATGAGGAGTCCCTGATTTCAGTAGCTTGTTATGCTAGGTGTGCAAATAGTTTTACATGCACAGTTCTCAAATAAATGCATATTTTGCTCCTATTATTATAATGGTGGGTAACTTCCTCACTGCCTAATCCTGCAGCCCAAACTCATGCAAAACTCCTCTTGATTTCAATAGAACTAGGGTGACCATATTTCCCAAAGGGAAAATAGGACACCCCCTGGGGCTAGCCTGAGCCCTCCCTCCTCCCGTGCACGGGGCTGGCCCGAGGCGCACGTCCAGGGCAACCCCCCAGCCTGCACGGGGCTGGCGGCGCTGCTCGCTCAAGCCCTGCCTGCCCGCAGCCTGAGCCCTACCTCCCCCGGCAGCTGGCCTTACCGCTCCCCATCCCCCCAGGTCCTCCACACCCCACTTTTTGACAAAAGTGGACATTTGTACCACTTGCTGTTGCCAGCTGATGAAGTTGGCAAGAACAAACAGGACAAATGTCCACTTTTGCCAAAAAAGTCGGGATGGCCAGGACAGGGCTTCAAAAAGGGACTGTCCCAGCCAAAACAGGACGTATGGTCACCCTAAATAGAACATATGAATCAGAACTGCAGGAGTGAACCCAGGGGAAAACATACCAGATAATCTTTGGATTTGTACAGTTTTTAAGGCACGTACGGTCCAGAGCCTCAGCTGGTGTAAATAGGCATAGCCCTACTGCAGTCAGTGGAGCTACACTGATTTGCACTAGCTGACAACCTGGCCTGATAGTTGGATGCGCTCCTCACTTTTTGCCTGCCAAGCCTTTACTGTGGTCCTTAAATATCCGCATATAATAAAATCTTTTGCACTTCTATTGCATTTTTTCATCCACAGATCACAGAGCACTTTACAGACATTAACTCTTTCATTATGTCTGTCACAATAGCCATCGCGTTAAATTAAGCAAATCTGTCGACCACAGTGGTTATAAAGCTAATTCCCAAAACCAAAACTGGGTAAATTGGTAAAGCAAGTTACCCCGCCCCGCCTCGCCTCGCCTCGCCTCGCCCTGCTCCCACCTCCAGGGATGTTAGTTACTGAATCCTTTCATTCAGATCAGCAGCATGGCTTAAAGATTATGCCACAACAAGTACTGAAAGTTAATCTTGAGTAATTGTACCAGGATTTGGGTCCAGATGGTCAAGTGTAACTTCCTACATCTCTTGGACACTCTGGACTGAAGCACGGGGAAGCTCTAATGCTGAAGTCCAGACCTTTCTCCTGAATTCAAGTTACTGAACTTTGACTTCAATGGTAAAGGTAAAGATCAAACTTCCTGATATTTTATGTTCAGCAGAAGGTGGCAAATAAAACCTCAAATAAACCAAAGCCTGAAACAATGTGCGCAAAATGTGGATAAAATAGAGTCTGTACATGTGTTGTAGATTAAAGCAAAGGGTCTGGCAAGCATTCAGTGACCAGCATGTCTGTTCACTGTGCACACCTTCCTGTTTGGGGTCTTCACTTGCCCAGGAGTGGAGGGAGGAATCCAATTGTGGATAGTGCCATAACTGCCCCACAGCTTGGGTCCAAAAGGAGCAGCGATGTGTGTCTCTTTCCTGGCCATCAGCAGCAATCGGTGTGGGGATCTGTGCATAGGAGCCATTACTGGGTCCATATGTTGGCCGTGCCCTCTGAATGTCCATGGTTCCCATCAGAGAAGGCCTGCGGAGCAACCTCTCCATGGATGCTGGAGGCACAGCCTCATAGGAGCAGACAGTCCACTGCCCCAGAGCATGGGTGGGAGGAAGAAATCCCAGGAAAGTCCCTTCCCCCTAACATTCTCCATGCGGGGGGCAGCTGTGATATGGCTGCCTGTTCACAAGCGGAGCAGCTAATGCTGCCAGAAGTGTTCCAGACCTCAACGGGGACAAATAGGGATTGGGTGTGGAGATAGCCATGGCCTCTTTCCCTCTTGCACGCTGGCTAGTGTCTGGAGGGCTGTACTGGGAGAACACATGCTACACGTTCTGTGGGTGTAGGATCTGCCACAGGCTGCCCCTGTGTCCCTGGATGCATTGTGCCTTCTGGCCTCTTCACGCATAATAACTCCAGCTACTACCACTTACACAGTGCTCCTGGCCCTCTCCCTCCTGCAAGGCTCAGGCTCCCAGAGCCAGAACTGAAGCCTTTTGCCTCTGTCCCTGTTCTCTGAATGTCTTTTTTGCTAGACCAGGAGTCTGTTGATGGCTCCTATCCTGCAGGCCTGACCTACTCAAAATCACTTGGGCATACCAGAATCACAGCATCACGCATCCGAGCATAAGGTGAACAGACAAATGAGGATAAAAAGAAGAGTGTCTTTGTACAGCGCCTAACATGGTGGGGTCCTGGGGCCTGGTTAAGGGTTCCTAGGCACTACGGTAGAACATAATCATAATACTTGGGATTTCTCTGAGCAACAGAGAAGGGACAGCATCTAGAGAGCCACCTTCGGTCAGCTGACTCTTCAGTAGCACTGCCGAGCAGCTGGGGCTTTTCTCAGAGTCCACTCAGAAAGTGGAAACTCTTTCTTGTGTTTCTGCAGGTTAGAAATCTCTGCTACATGGTGACGAGGCGGGAGAAAATGAAACACTCCATTTGCAAACTTCAGGAGCAGATCTTCCATCTCCAGATGCAACTGATCAAGAAGGATCTTTATCCAGGTAGATACTTCTGCTAATGGCTTGGGAGTACTTGTCATCACAGATGCTTCCAGTTCCATCATATAATATGAAACACTCATATCCAAACCTGCGCACGTGGAAGCAAAAGTATCACCAGATTAGGTCTTTTCTTCCTTTTTTTATGTTGATAAACGTGTGGTTGAGCTATCTTGTGGAAAATATAGCAAATTATAGATACTTGGGAGCTTATGCCCTGCCCAGGGTAGGCTTGTGGTAGAGCACAGAACTGGGGGTCAGGACCTGGGTTCAAGCCTCTGTTCCACCACAGACTCACTGTGCCACCGTGGACAAGTCATTTAGGCCTCAGTTCTGCCCTCTCATAAAAGTCAGTAAGAGTTTCACCCTTTAAGTGAGGGCAGAATCGGGACCTTATCTTCTCTGAGTCTCAGGGAATGTCTGCGCTAGAGTTGGAGGGGTACGTTCCAGCTCAAGAAGGCATACCCAGGATAGCTCTGATCGAGCTATGTGCTAAGAACAAAGTGTAACCGTGGCAGCGTGAGGGGGCTACCCACCCCGAGTCTGATCCCATCTGAGACGATAGGTATGTGCTCAGGGCGGCTAGCCCCTCCTGGCGTTCTCACTGCCACTACTACACTCCTGTTTTTAGCACACTAGCTTGATATCTGCTCAAGCTGGAATTTACACCTTACATCTCCAGGGTATACACACCCTCAGTTTCCCCAACTGCAAAATGCGGGGAGGGAGGAAGAGAATGATCCCTCCTCCTCCTTCCTCACTTGCTTTGAAATCGACAGGTGATCAAGCACTGTGCATTTTGAGTGTTCTGATTATTACTGTTTTATTAAGAAGAGGGAAGAGTACATTTCCTACCCTGACTCTGCTGAGAGGCTGAGATGGTAGTTTTCACTGACCCTATACAAAGTAGATCTGTATCACCTCTGGGTAGTAAACGCTAATCATTTTGCTGGATAGTAAAATTAAGACATCAGTCTGGCCTGCAGTGAGATGCTGTGACTGGAGCACATTGTTCTGTTCCAACTCCTCCTCATCCTGTTTGGATGGTGATTACAAATGCTGGGTGCAAGGCTAGAGAGGTTGGTGTTTTTAGTTGTGGCATCTGGCTCGTTGGTGTGTTTTAGTAGCAGTTGCATTGGCTTCTTTTCAGTTGCCTCTGGCTCTGTTAAGAATCAAAGGTTAAGCTGCTGATGGAATGTCTTTTGCTCCTAGATGCCATCTCATTTTAACACTGATTGTCTGTAATTCACTCGGCTATACGTATCTATTAGCGGAAAACATCATGCACACAGTACGGGAAGCACTTGGCAGCATTTTATTAAATAGCGAATATAGAATTAATTTCTTTCTTTTTTTCTTTGATTATTATTTTTTAAACATGCAGTGGTTGAGCCCACATCTCATAAATTCCTCTTCCTTTTTTCAATGGCAGTACAAGACTCAAAAACCAAGGCTGCATAACAGTTTTTCCAGAAACAGCATCTGGCTCTTTGGCAGACTCCTCCGCCAGTTGTTGTGTTTGTGGCTTTGGAGTTGCTTCTGAAGCCATCACGTGTTTGGGGTTTCTTAGGAACTGTCTGGACTGCACTTTCCCTTACCAAAGTTTCCTTTGACTCAAGTTTTGAGTCTGAGAAAGGTGGTGTTGAAAAGTTTGTGACTTTGATTCCGTGCAAATTTTTCGTGGTAGCCTGACCCGGACTGCTCTATAGTGCAGAGAGGAAGATCCAGTAATCATATACAGTATGGCCTAGTCAGAGATGGGCCCAAGCCACAAAAAGTCTGATACTGGGTGAGGCTGACCAGCCATGACACTGATTATCTTCAGTGGAAATTTCAGGTGTTCTGCACTTCTCAGAATAGGACCTACCTTTTGGATCCAGATCAAAACTATCCCAAGGTTGTGGGGAAGTTATGCCCTGAGTCTTTGAGTGGGGCCTATTTTACATAGAGGGCCTGATTAGTAGAGGTACTGAGTGTTGAGCACTTGCTGATCCCACTGGGACTAACTCTGATAACCTTTATTGAAAGATACCTTACTCCATAAGTGATCACATGGCAATTAGTGAAGCAACTTGTTGACATCGTGAATAAGAGTAGAAGAATCATAGGGTTAGAAGGGACCACAAAGGTCATCTAGTCCAGTGGTTCTCAACCGGGGTAAATGTACCCCTCAAGGTACCCAGAGGTCTTCCAGGGGGTACATCAACTCATCTAGATATTTGCCTAGTTTTACAACAGGCTACATAAAAAGCATCAGCGAAGTCAGTACAAACTAACATTTCATACACACAATGACTTGTTTATACTGCTCTATATACTATTCACTGAAATATAAGTACACTATTTATATTCCAGTTTATTTTATAATTATATAGTAAAAATGAGAACATAAGCAGTTTTTCAGTAATAGTGTGCTGTGACACTTTTGTATTTTTATGTCTGATTTTGTAAGCAAGTAATTTTTAAGTGAGGTGAAACCTGGGGGTATGCAAGACAAATCAGACTCCTGAAAGGGGTACAGTAGTCGGAGAACCACTGATCTAGTCTAACCCTATGCCAAGATGCAGGATTTGTCATGTCTAAACCATCCAAGAGAGATGGCTCTCCAGCCTCCTTTTGAAAAGCTCCAGCAAAGGAGCTTCCCCAACCTCACTAGGTAGTCTGTTCCGTTGTCCTACTGTTCTTACAGTTAGGAAGTTTTTCCAGAGATTTAATCCAGCTTGTTGACTTTATTTTGAGTTGTGGGTCGTAAGCATCCCTCTAAAGTTAGGTGCGCATCTACAAAGTTCAGGGTATTCTGACCAGAAGGGTTGCTTTGAACCTTTACCTACTTTGAAAGTAACAAGATTTCCATGGGACAGCATTTGAAGTCCAGAAATAAGAACTGCTCTGAATGACTTGAAGGAATGAGGAATTTTACTGCTGTAAAATTGTAAGTGTTCAAGCTTGTATCTGAGCAGTATTTATTGTTTGCTTAAAATAAATGGGAATGACTTTCAAATGGACACTTTATCATGATTTTATTTCCATGGGGGAAATTAAGCCAATCTGAATAGTAAGCCATGAGATGCAGATCTCCACAGCTTTGTTCAGCTAAGGAGAATGAAGGATAGTACCAAAATGAAGCTCTAATAAGTGAGTTGAATAAATCAGTGATAATAGCTTCCCTCAAGAGAAGTCAAGTGCTTCCCCATGTAGATAGGATGGCTCGTAGTACAGAGAGGATTGGGGTGCAGAGTTGTCCGTTTCTGAGACCGTTTGATTATTTGCCTATTCTTCTACTGCATTGGCTCCTACTACACAAGTTAGCACACGGTAGCTCGGACATCTGTATGCTTCCCTGAGACCCCCCGAGCTCAGCTTTGTTTCTGACAGTAGGACAGCCTTTTGTAGTGTTATGAGCCAAATCAGTAGAGTTGCTTCAGGTGGCAGTAACTACTCTCCATTTCATTATGGTACAAGAGAGGCACGGTTTTAAGGTCCAATCCTATAAAATGCTGTTGGCCTCCATAAATTGCTGAGCTGCTGTCGACCTCAATGGCAGTGGAGGATGATCAGCCCCTGGCAGGACCAGGCTCTTGGAAAATTTGTTGTTCAGTTTTACGACACGAAATGATTTGCAAGTGGAGGAGAAAATTTGTCTCCTAATATTTTCTCACCAGTATTTCCTCCCCTCTGACACTTGATTTCATTGGCCGACACATCAATAACTTTTGGGGGGAAAGCAAGAAATCTGTATCACTCTTCCCGATTGAGTGCAGTTGCTGATTATTATGGGGCATGGCAATTAATCAACACAACCTGGTGGAGTTACCCCATAGGCACGTTTGGCACACTGTATTTTTGGAAGAGTCTCCTCCTAAAACTCCTAACTTGGAGGTTCATTTTCCCATTGATGAGTGATCATTTAGGCAGGAGGTTCTTATTAAAGCTGTTGGGAATTACCCACGTAAAACTACCCCTCTTCTATCTCACATATATGTCTTGCATGAAAAGTCAAGTTGACTCCTGACTGTGAAATGTGGCTGTTATTTTGACAGGCTCCTTTTGAAAAGGTAACATTCATATTTCTGTTTAGAACCATTGTGATGTCTAAACAAAGTCATATTTTTATTTGTAAGTCAGGTGAAAAATGTGTCTGTTTGGAACTTCCCCAGTCTTCTGGAGTTATTTGGCAGGAATGTAGTATATATCAATGTTTATTTTCTTTCTTTCTTTCAGTGAGTCCATTGCTCATGAAAGATCCTGGATTGGCAATCCTGGAAATGTAAATCCTCTCTTAATCCAGACCCACAGATATTCTCAGGCAGCTGTAATGCAAACTCCACCACTACATTTCAGCCTAGAGAGACTACCTCTAGAGAGAGAGGAGACTTCAGCCTCCATGGCCTCTCTGCTAAGACTGCTAACAAATCTGATGGTGCTTTATATGAAGCTGATACCTTCCACCGATCACTGCATAGATCTCTTAGAATTATTGCTCAGTTGTCATTTTACAGCCATCACATAGTAATAACTTTTGGTCAGTGCCAACTTGGGTCAGCTTCAAGCTAATGATCAGATTACGGAAAGCTAGAAATCATATTTCCAATTCCTTCAGCCATCCAGGCTCCTACTTTTGCTTTTAGGGCCCTGTTCTTTCCCCACTGAAGGTAGTAGGAGATTTAGCATGAGCTTCTGCAGGTGAAGATTTGGGCCCTTAATATATAAAAAGCTTTGAGTATTTCACCTAGTAATACAAATTGTCCTTTTCAGAGGGTACATCTTAATCCTGTTCCCCCAAGAAGAATAAATCCAGTACATATGCAAAACCATTTAGTATATATTGATTTTTAGTTGAATGTCCAAATAGCTGTGATTTATATTCCTGGTTTTCAATAGGCAGTTTTCAATAGCCAGGTCTCTCCCACTCGGTTTAGTTGGATTTTATGCAGTGTTTAGGTGTTAGAGTTTTGTTTTTTCATTGTTATACAGTGTAAGCAAGGGTAGTTATTATATCCAAAAGATCAAATCAAGACAGGTCTGCTTAAAAATGCTGCCAATAAGATCTTTGTCAGACTTGTTTTGCGACCTTATACCAGCAATGGAAGAGTAGGTTGATAAGCACTTTGTATTTGCCTGTAGTTTACATTGCAAATTTGCATTATACAACAAGCTGTAAAGTCTGGAACTGCCTCAGTCTTTTGGAGTGTTCCTATGTAGGGGTTTGGTTTATAAGCACTGCATTCTCAGAACTGAAATCTTGGTGCCCAAAGGCCTTGATCCAGCAAAGCACTTAAGCAAGTGCTTAATTTTAAGCAAATGAGCAGTCCAGTGATTTCAGTGGAACCACTTGTGTTTAAAGTTCAGTTTGTGCTTAAGTGCTTTGCTGGATCAAAGCCCAAATTTCTTCTTTATACAGTCTCTGGGACTGAAAACCTTTCCTTAATCTAGAGCTCTGTAGTGTCCACTTGCCCAACATGGCGGTACACCTATCTCCTTTGCAACTCTTGACCCAGATTTGCACTAGAGCCTGCTATTGTTTCACAGAAGGTGATTAGCAAGGATTCTTCCAGTTCTTAATTTCATCCTTATCTCAATGCTCCTGAATGCTCCAAAGTGTTCATCATCATGTTCCCTAGTTACGTGAGCTCACATTTCTTTTTATTTGAAAAAAAAACAGAACAAACTGGGAAGAGAACAAAGGGAAAGAAAAGTGACCCCAAAAGAAAAGGAAGAGATGGTAGAAAAAGTAGCCCTGAGAAGAAAGAAAAAAGGAAACCAGGGAACGACTCAGTCTTGGGACAGCTGGGTAAGTCTGACTGTGAGAACACAGCACTGAAATATACTGAGTGCAGACGCCAAAGTCATAAAGTTAAAGGAATTCCAAAGGCTTCCCTTATGGGGGGGGGGGTGTTAAATGTAGTGCTTAATGCCACAGATAGCCCTAGAGCCTAGGCCAGGGGTCTCAAACTCAGATGACCTCGAGGGCCGCATGAGGACTAGTGCATTGGCCCGAGGGCCGCATCACTGACACCCCCCCTCGTTGCCCCCGGCCCCGCCTCCACTCCACCCCTTCCATGAGGCCCCGCCCCTGCCCCGCCTCACCTCTTCTCGCCCCTTCCCTGCCCCCATTCCAACCCCTTCCCCGAAGTCCTCACCCCAGGGAGTGCAGGAGGGGGCTCAGGGCAGGGAGTTGAGGTGCAGGAGGTGTGCAGGGTACGGCAGGGAATTGGGGTGTGGGGTGCAGCGGGGGCTCAGGGCAGGGAGTGCAGGAGGTGTGCAGGGTGTGGCAGGGGGCTCAGGGCAGGGAGTTGGGGTGCAGGAGGGGTGAGGGGTGCAGCAGGGGGTTGGGGTGCAATGTGTGGCAGGGGGCTCCAGGCAGGGGGTTGGGGTGCAGGAGGGGTGCAGGGTGTGGCGGGGGCTCCAGGCACAGGGTTGGGGTGCAGGAGGGGTGAGGGGTGCAGGGTGTGGCAGGGGTGAGGGGGAGGGAGCTGGGGTGCAGGAGGGGTGTGGGATGTGGCAGGGTCTCTGGGCAGGGGGTTGGGGTGCAGAAGGGGTGCGGGGTACAGGCTCCCGCCCGGCGCCGCTTACCTAGAGTGGGGTGGCAGCGCCGCGCCCCACGGCCAGGGCAGGCTCCCTGCCTGCCTGCCCTGTCCCCGCTCTGCTCCAGGAAGCAGCCGGAGTCCCTGGGGGGGGGGGGGGGGGGGGGGAAACGGCGCCATGTGCTGCTCTTGCTGCTCCTCCAGGTACCTCCTCCGAAGCTCCCATTGACCGCGGTTCCCAGTTCCCGGCCAATGGGAGCTGCAAGAGCACGGAGCCCTCTACTTGCCTCCCACCCCCCTGCTCAGGGCTGCAGGGACATACAGTAGTTCAGCTGCTTCAGGGAGCAGCGCGGGGCTTGCGGGCGACACGGGGTAGGTGGGGGGGGAGAGCGTGGGGAGCTTGGCGGGCCGCACGAAAGAACCCCGCGGGCCGCGTGTTTGAGACCCCTGGACTAGGCTCTCTTGCTTATCCACATTGGAGTTACATCACAGACATTGGCTGTGTGAGCTTCCTTACACTGCTTCTGCCCTGTACTGGAGGGACCAGAGTACACTAACCCCCACCCTGACACTGTAGATGAGGTCCTTTGTCTGTAGGCTGTCAGCTAGTGGCACTAAAACTTATGAAGTATTCAGCTATCAGGCTGAAGGGTTGAACTCCAGCTGGAAGAATGCATTAGAATATTGCAATGAGAAATAGTGATTTTACTTTCTGGCAATGTAATCTGACTTCTCCACTCTAGTGTAGTGTTCATTCTCTGAATAGTCTGCACCATGCGTCCTGCTGCTGCTTGTGAGTAAACTGCATGGGCCATGTGTTTTAGTTCAATGCATGCTGCTCTGTTCCTCTATGCACCCTCCATCACAGGAATTCGTTCGGCCAAGTGGCTGCTGCTGGCAGTCCCAGACCAGCCAGGAGATGGATGCAAAGTGACGCTGCTTTCTCAGCACTATTTCCAGTCTTTTTCCATGTCATAAAGGGCCTGATTCTGCCCCCATTACTGTCATTCTGTGCATTATGTTGCTATATAACACACCACCCAGCCCACCATCAAAAATAACCCTCTGCTACATGGCAGGGGAAAAGACCTAAAGAAAAAGGGCTTTTTCAACAATTCCCTTAGCAACCACAAATGATTTCTTGTAGAATTTGATCTCTTTCCTACTTTCTGATGTTGATTAAGTGACATTTTTAATTCCACTCCCGCCTTGTGTCAGATTACTGTGGCCAGGTGCAGAAGGTTGACTGGATCACCAGCAAGCAAGGGGTTAATTCTATGTTCAGCTCTCCCACAGGTGTAATGGCCTAGCACTGGACCTGACAGCCCAATCAGCAATTCAGAGGAAAGCCAGGGAACACTATAAAAATAACTCCCTGGCCCTAGAAAGGGAAAGAACTTCTGGGGGAGGGGATTGGGTTTGGGGCAGGGCAGGGGCTTAGACCTGGTTTTCTCTTCCCTTTTCTGTTAATATAAAATCCTGTTTGTTTTTTCTTACCATTTGCTAACTCTGAAACTGAAGCCTTAGAGGAGGAATTTTACTTAATGAAGGACATTCTCTGTTACTATTTAGATCAGCTGTCCCGTTCCGCTAGCTTAGAATGACCCAAAAGTCCTTCCCTTGAGACAGCTCCCATGATGCCTTGACATGTTGTGAAAAGCCCCCTGTAAATTTTAGTTATTGTCTGGAACACTCATTTTTTCCCCCCCTTAGGCATATCCTACACCTACAGCAGCAACTGATTTAAATCAAATAGTTAATTCTGTGCTGATACTTGGCAGAAATGTTTTCTTATTCCTTGTGAAATGGAGATACTGGGCCACATGTCCTGCCATCATTTTGAAAAAGAAAGTGTTGAAATCTTTAAAACAATGAATGATACAAACCTCCTCACAAGAATAACAACTATAGACATGAATCGCTTCCTCCACAACACAGTCCCAGTGACCTCTCCCCTAACCCATCTGTAGTTTCCTTTTAAAAAAGAGAAAAAAATACTCCATCAAAAATCTGCCCTTTTCTCATCCATTTTATAAATAAGACCAATGTTTTTATTATTTTTTTACAATTTATTGAGAGAGTATTAACAGGTTTACAAATCCTTGCCATGTAAATATCAGAAACCAGACAATCATTACAACAGGGAGCTTTTCTTTAGAGACATTTTGGAGGAATATAGTCATCAGATCTCTCTATTTAACAGGGTGTTCCCATAGTACACAGTGAGCATCGTTACAACTGCTCACATGAATGAGACCAGTTTTTAATGTACAATTCCAGTGGGTTTCAGTCATAGCAATTAGAACAGGGACACACCTGTGCTATTAGGATCTCTTTGTTTTCTTCCCTCTGCCAGTGCAGAAGTGTTCCCTCCCATACATTTTAAAGGCACTTATCTATCTACTTTTAAAAGTTCTAAGTAGTGGTGACCTCCACCACTTCTCTTGAGAGCTATTCCACACGCAGGCAAACCTCAATACTAGGAAGTTTTTCAACCAAATTCTTCCCTCTTTTACTTCTAGTTAGTCCTCTTTGTGCTACTCCAAATAATTCCTCTCTGGTAGTCACTCCTTTCAAGTATGAATAGATGGCTCTAATGCCTGCGCCCTTCTGTCATCACTGAATCATACACATTTAGCTGCTTTAAACTTTCCTCATCAGTCAATCCCTCCAACCCACTGATCGTTCTTGCTCCAGTTTAGCCAGTCTCTTTTGTACCTAATGAATGCAGTCTACCAGGTGCCAGTGGGAAAATCCATCTACAGCACCAATGGCAGGATATGACTCAAGGCAAAAGAACTCTGTAGCATGGACTTTACTAGGCGTGATTTTGAAGATCAGTAGGTCCATGTTGCACAGACCTGATTTTTTACAGCACAGACTGTTATCACACTTTCACTTTTCTCTAAGAAATTAAATAGCATAATCCAATAATTGTCTCCAGGTGCAAATCCTCTTCTCTGTAAGGATTTACCAAATTCTTAGGATCAGATAAAATTAGTCCAGTCTGTTACAGTAATATGAACATGAAAAGTAACAGCTTAAGAATAGGAGTGTCTACAGTGTTATTTCAGAGCTGCTGGGAATAGATTAAAACCGCTCTCTGTTTAATGACATCATAGGATATAGACACTTTTATCACTGCCTGTCTTTAGAAATTTGGCTAAATCATAAGTAAATACTCAGACCAAATCCTGAGGTTCTTACGCAGTCCTTAGCCCAACCTTCCACTGACTTCAATGAGAGTTTAGCCTAAGTGAGGACTTCAGCCCAACATTTGAAACCTCAAAGCCAGTATGAAATGCTGTCAGCTCTGTTCCTGTTTTGATGGGTGTGCAATGGCTGTACAACTGCATGTTAAAGTCAATCAGCCTTTTTAAATTTGAGGAAGGTTTCTGTACTAATATTTGCTTAGTCCAAGCGCAGAGGTACTTCTGCGAAAGCATCGGTGTCACAGGCAGTCAAAATGAATGATCGAAGGCAGATATTTATTTGAGGAAGCTAACACTGTCTCTAATATAGAGCGATGGACATATACTGCACATTAAACCTCGGGTCTTACCTTATGGCTTAATGGATTGCTTACCAGCATGACCAGTTGGTCTCTCCTTTATACTCCGCCCCATAACAAGAGAACTAAGGGGCCACTCCAGTGAATGAATACTGAATACATCTGCAGCACTTCAAGGAAACTTTGCTTCATGCAATATATAATCAACCTTCAAAATGCGCTGCCACAGATGGGGGAGTCGGATAATATATGAAAAGGGTTCTCATTTTTATGACCATTAATAACTTTTATAGTTATGCAGCTCTGGTGAGGACTATCGTACACATGCTTCAGGGTACTCATGGAGCATTGAAGGGTCAGGCAGGAGTTTTTTCCCCACTCTGTCCATCATTTCCACAAATGATGAGACATCTCATGGGGGATGGGGTTTGACTTCTGAAGCATTGGATGCTAGCTAGTGACAGAGGCCAGTTGATCTGAGCTGTGTGGCAAATCCTACTCATGCTATTATATATCTCGGGTAGGTGGTATAGTCTTTGGGGCGAGGCCCATGTCTTTGTGTCTGTGCTGTGAAACATACTTTTGGGGCTCTCTAGAATTATTAATCATAAGCATGATCATCAGTTTTCACTTATTCCGGTTCTGATAATATTACATTCACACTGGTGTGATCCTAACCAGCTATCAGTGCCCATATAGTTGAAGAAGAAAATTAGAATAACTGTTTAAGCAGCTAAAACATAGTATGTAGAACCAGTGATGTTGTTTGTGTTTTCCCAGCAAAGGGGAAGGCAAGAATCCAGCCAAAGACCTTCCTTACCTAACTACCCATATAAAGCTTATGCCAGGAGGGTGTTTCTACCCCAGCCCCCATGTAAGTGTTCTGTCCTAGGGCTCTCATCAAGCCAAAGCAGCGGCCTGTAGAAGCAGAGTTCTCATAGCTGAATTCATCCAGCCCTTCGTCTCCTGCCCATTCTTCAGGGTTTCCTGCATGGGTTAGCACTATAGCTGAAGGAACTGTAATAATCCTGTGTGGCCAGATACCAGGGTGTTTCAGTCCTGTTCTCCCCAATCACCCAGCCTTCACAATCTTCTCAGCCTTGCTAGTTAAAGTTCTGTGCGTAGTTCGTCTTGAACACCATATAATCTACCCTAACACACTGTAGGTCTTTGTCCCCCTTCTAGTAGCTAGACCACACATAGAGGAATATGATTTGGCTCTTGGGCCTAGTCCTTTAATTTATGCAGTCAAAGCTCATGCTTTTCGATCCGAACATCCCAGGTTCAGTCCTCATAGATGTCCAATCTGGGGGCAATGTTATAAGTGGTGGACGGTGTAGGTCGCTATCATGTAAGGTATAAGAATACTCCAAATTAACCATTATTACCTGAAGTAAAGTATGCTTGCCATTTACTCACACATTACATGCTGTATGGTGCATTACAATAGACACTGGAGCCCCTCCATGTTTGCCGAATACCAAAGAATTGTTCCAGGTTCCTTACTGCAGTTTATAGTTTTGACACTGAATGATTCTGACTTCTAAGACAGTTGTCCTTTTTATTTTTACAGGTTTGTCAACTTCCTTTCCCATAGATGGGACCTTCTTCAATAGCTGGTTGGCCCAGTCAGTTCAGATTACCACTGAGAACATGCCAATGAGTGAGTGGTCCTTGAACAATGGCCACCATGAAGACAACACTCCAGGCCTTTCAGAGGAGCTTTTACAAGATGAAGAGACCTTGTTAAGTTTTATGATGGATCATTCCTTGAAGTCACCATTCAAGCATAGTGATGCAACAAAGAAAGTTAAAAACAAAATGAGAATGAACACTAAGAAAAAACTGTCAAGAAATGACTTGAACACAATCTTCAAGAGTCACCAAGAGGAGGATTCAAATCAGTGGACTAACAACACGAATAACTTATCAAATGATACCACAGAGCCCTTCGCCCATGATGCAAGACCTAGCAAATCAGAGAAAGGAACGGTGAAACTTCACATGGACCGCAAAGGAGCCAGTGAAATAAAAAAGACAGCTAAGAAGGGATCTTCACATCCTGTTCCAAAAGCAAATGATTCTCATGCCTCATTGTGTCTGAGAAGCTCCTTAAGCAATGAGGAGGAGACAGTGAATTGTACTCAGTGTGAGTCCAGTTCTCTGACTAAAGTGCCTGACTCAGTAGGTAGTCTGAAAACGGTAGTGAGGTTCAAATTACCAAAGGAGAGCAGAGGGACTAAGAGGTCACAGATCCAGAAGCCTGACACCGTTAACGGGCCTCCAGTCAGTGAAAAGTCAAAGGTCATCTTGCATCATTTTGACAATGAGACTGATGGCTACTTTTCTGATGCAGAGATGAGCGACTCCGACATGGAATCCGGTAGTGGCAGAGTGCAACATAACCAGTTAGATTCAGGAAATGAGGATATTGTCAGAATGAGTATTTTGGCATCGTAACTCCACCAGATTTACCAACTGTGACAGTTCTATGAAGCCTAAACCCAGTTACAACTGCCATGTTCAATTTTTGCCTGGTATCATAACAAAGGGGTTTTTTAATATGTATATATAGTTTAAAATTCAGCACTGTTGTCTTTCTCTTCTCTATATGCCTGAGATACAGCTTAACCATCACCAACATAGATTACTGTAACAGTAGTTGTCCCTTCTTAGTTAACTTGCATATCCCAGTTAAAAGAAATGCAAGCATGCGCATTAAGGGACTTGTGCTTGCAGGCAATGAGCAAGACATCCTAGATTCTTAATAAAGAGGTTTAATTTTGCCAGTATCCGTTGTTTCTGCAGGGATGACAGTTTTATGGGCATTATTTAAAGACAGACAGATTTCATGCTCTGCCTGGGATTATTGCCCCTGTATGTCAGGGTATTGGGGTACTATGAGAACCACCTACACACACAGAACTTACTGAAAAAGTCACTATCTGTCCGTGTGTGTGCGCGCGCACAAGGAAGTAAAATAAGCGATACTAAAATATTTTTTTTTTAAAAAGCACAAAAAGCTTATTTGAAGAAAGCACTTATGGGTGGAGGAAAACAACATTCTATTTATATTTTATTAAATCCTGTGTTTTTTCTCACCTTCCAGTTTGATCAGAATCCGTCCAGGGGCCAAGAACCAAGATTTAGCCCTGCCACTACATCTGTCAGAGATAGTCGGCAGCACTGTAAACAGTCATCAAAGGCTTTCAGTAGATAGAAGAGACACATATCTGTGTTAGAGCTGCAACGCTATCTACAAATATTCCTCCTGAGTAGCTCTGGGTATTTATTGATGTGTAAACCTCGGAGGTCCTTTGAACCCTTTAAGGTTATTTGAAAATTTTAAGTGATTTACTCAGGTTAATTGATTAGCCTTTACCAAAACATTTGGGCCAAAATGGAGCGGGATGGAGAGGGGAAAAATGTCTTCAAAAACAGGAGGGTTGTAAAATATCAAATCAGTTTGGCAAAAGAGCCGATGCCAGCACTTCATCTTTAATGGTTGAAATTACATTCAGTTGTGCTGGGAGCTGTACATTCGAGCCCTGTGGGACTATTTTTAACCCTGGTTCCGTCCTGCCCTGCAACACCCACTCCCTCTTGCTTCCGCTATTATGGCAGTGGGACCCACAAGATCCCAGTCCCACTGCAGGGTTCTATACTAGTCCCACGCAGGGCTCTATTGTCATTTAGAGGAAATTAAATGATTTGCCTTTATCATTTTGTTCTACTAAATACCGTAACTAAAACAATAAATTTATCCCTCCCCATCCTTTTTTTTTATTCTTTGAATCCTAGTTACAAGCTGTTGACTTGATGTAGGAGGGTGATTCACAAAAGCTGACATTATAAATATTATAATAATTTAATGCATAAAATGTCCCCTATAAGCCTTAAATGTCGTTTAAAAGCCCATGTTACCTATGAGTCAGGCGAATTTCCATGTTTGCACTTAATTGCACCATTATTTCAGTTTTGGCTTCAAAGGTCACAGTTAAATCGTACTGCATGTTTTATTGGAGTGACCCCAGTGTGAGCTCAGGGAACAAAAAACAAACAAACAAAAAAAGGAATTCACTGAAACTTTTTTCTGTTGTTTTTTAAAAATAAAAAAAAAAAACCTGGGACACTTCTGCAACTGGTAAAACCCATCACTTTAAACAAAAAAACAGATGAATCAGTCAAATAATTTTGTGTATGCCAAAGAATATTTTGACAATAAAGCAGCACAGCCAGAAACCGGAAACTTGTCATTTTGAAAAATTGGAGGTTATTTAGCAACAAAGGACGAGAGACACGTTCATGACACAAAACTGAGGTGTTAGTTTCCAAGCTTGCTGACTGGGAAGCTTCTGTCACTGAAGCTGCATCCTGCTGTTTTGATTTCTGATGCTTTTTACTCATTTGACTCTGAGCTTTCTTTAAATTCAGTGACTCCGAAAATTGACTATCGTAGCGTTTTTAAATCTTCAAAAGTCCTTCTTATCAATTATTATCAAATTATTATCAGATTGCAGTGAAATTAATAAAATTGGCTAATTCCAAAAAATCAACTCTAAAACCAAACGTACCTGGGTGTTTTCCTCATTTGATAAATTTTATACAAATTATTGTCAAAAAAGAAGAAAAAGGAACCACCTAAAAACATTGTTATAAATTAGCATAATCCGCTGAGGTTGGAAACTAAAGTCTGCTCATTAATTAAGGCTCAGTATGTTCAGATAATGTTAAATACAGTAAATAGGACTTAGTTTATCTTATCAGGCTTGCTAGCTTTAGCTACAGTATCCTAGTATAAGAGTCATAACAATAATCAATATGCTGCCTTTTAATGAATCTTGCTTCCGTGTGCTTCACTTCAACTATGGTAAAAAAAAACAGACACAAATCTCACTGTACACAGCTTCACTCATTAGCTTCTGCATTCCTTGCTTGCTCAGTACAGGAGAGCAAAAGGGGATAGACTTTAAAGAACAACCAAACGAAGGTGGCACCAGATTTCTGTTGATTCCGATGCAGCACTGTGATACACTCCATTGTTACTGTGATCAGGAAGTAGTTCAAAACCAAAAAAAACAAAACAACAACAGTTCAAAACAGCCACAACAAGACTTTAGGCATTGTGATTTGTGATCAGGGAATAAAATTGCACACAGAGGGGCCAAATTTGGCCTGTTTGTATGTAAAATAAGAACAAGAGAATGAGAGGAAACTAACAGAGAAGAGCTTATCAGAATTACTGGGAGAGAAGAATCCAGAAGAGTATTACCAGGCAGTGGCAGAACATGGATCTGGTATACACACTCTATGAGAGCGCTCAGTACTGTATGTAGATGCTGAATCCATTGTCTTTTGGCTTGAGTTAACTATTGACATTTTGTATAATTGCTGTGAGATTCATTTGAGTGGATTCTTTGATTTATTACCAGTAATAATAATCCCTTGAGTGTCCTGGTTTAACAGAAGAGCTCTAGAGATAATTTGAGGGCTAAGACATGTTCCCAGCGGCACCCATACTGCACCATTGATGTCCATGTACAGGTGCCCATACAGTATTCTACTCCATACATTTAGTGGGGGCCACACTAAAATAGACTTACAGAGGCTGTTTTGCTCAAGATGTCTAGGAAATCTCCAGACCTCCACTGGTCACCTGCTATTGCTTCCAAAGGCGTGAGAATTGACAGCAGGCTTGCTGGCTAACAACGAAAGAGGTTATCAGGGAAGAGGTGGTGGCTTCCAGCAGGGGAAAGGTAGGACAGAGGCATTCACTGTGGGCAGGAGGCCAGATCTAACCCCACCTCCAATCAGGACCAAGGCCATTTCACAGCCATTCCAGTGGCCCCACCAAAGCCCTGGAAACTTAGCTACTATATTCAGTCATTAGACATCTGGTTCCTAAGAAACACTCCACACGCCCTTTGTTCCTATGCCACCTACTTATTTCATAACAAAAATGTTAATAATTAAGGAAAGAAAAATGTACAAGGAAAATATTTTTGATGTATTGTAAATGTATTTTGAAATGATTAGAAAGAAAAAAGTATAATGGTTTATTTTATTAAACAGATGTTGTCTTTAAGATGATATATAACTGCAGGAGTTGATATTTGCACTGTAAAAGGGACCTGTTTCCTTTGAAAAGCACCACCACACTTGTGGGTTAATGTGATGATGCACATAGGCTCTGATCAACGCTCATTTCTAATTCATAGAGAACAACCCAAATTAGTGTTAAAGCATTGGTGCCCAGTGGAGTTTCCTGAAGACAGTTCTGAGTTCACACATTCATTTTTCACCCCATATAATTTTGCTCTTCTGGATAAGCTGTGTTTGGGATATTTTGCACCTTTATTTATTTTTATTTTTAAATGTCTAATATTTGGATGACACTTTCCCTCAAAGCACAATAGAGAATTAGCCATTTCAACACAAGGGAGAGAGAACAGAAGATTTCTCTCACTTTTTGTATTGTTAGTATAGTAGTATACTATACTATAGTTCATGAACCCATCCTTGTGTTATCCACATCAGCCTAAGGACTAGCAACTCGTCATAAAGGAACTTCTCTGTCTATTGCCAGGGCAGTGTGTTAATTTTGGTTGTTCTTTAAGGAAATTCCCATGTACTTTGCTCCATTCCACACACGAAACAGACCCGCTTCACATCAGTTACAGGAAACTATATGAATGTCACAGGAGGAGAAATCCTTCTGTTTTCTTTGTTTCAAAGAACGTGATGTGCCATTTGTTAATATAAAAGAGAAATATTGAAATATATTGAAAAGAGCAATTTTAAATTATTTTTGGCTTATGTTGCAATATTTATTTTCTTGTATTAGAAATTCCTTTGTAGAGAAAAAAATGTATTTTTCATTAATGCAAAAACCTATTTCTCCTTTTTGTACATTTTCCATGTTAGTTAATCCTTAAAGCAATATAATGTATCAAACTTGTTCCGTGTGAGACTGTATTATGCATGCTGTTTGTGTTGCCTTGCAATAGCTGTGTCTGCCATTCTTTTCATCATGTTTAGATTTAGTGTATGCTTTAATACACATTGGGACCATGGCCCATTGCTTATGGACAAAACTTTGCATTCCTCAATGTGTTGGCAAATGCAGTCAATAAAGCAGTGTTTTATGTGTACATTTTTGTTTGAGTATTATGTAGTCAACAGGTTCCAGTGTAGCAAATTCACCTTGATATCGAAGGACTCATGTCTTCCAAGTGTCCCCCTACCTTAGTAAAGAGAAGGATTTGATTTGTACTACATTTGTGACATTCATTTGTTTCTGTTAAGGTTAGTAAACTGTTAATATACTATTAGGGAACTATGTAACTGCCCGTCACTTTCAATGAGCAATAGATTTCCATCACCCAACATAAGTTAACCATTACAGAGCTCAACAGGAATGGCTTACTTGTCAGCTCTGTAATTTATTGCTCTGGGGGAGGAGTTGAAAAAGGCTTTATCAATGTTTTAAGGTAGTGTGGGATCTGTTTGTATTCATTGTGAATGAACAGGGTTGTAGAAGTCTCGGCCGAGGTTCGGCCCTCAGCGGGGCTGTGGGGTATCCCACTGCCTCGCTCTGGTCTGCAGTCAGTCCCAGTCCGGCGGTAGTGTGGGGCAGCAAACACACAGTTAGGGGCTCAGGCCCTGAAGCAGGGGCTGAGTCAGTGAGTTTGTAGCAGCCCAGGCCCTGGGTCAGGGCGGGGCAGCAATCAAATAGTCAGGGACCCAGGCCCTTAAGCAGGGGCTGAGTCAATGGGCGAGAGGTCCCAGCCTCTCTAGGCCAGGGAAAGGGGGAGTCTGCCACCCAAGGGGTGGGTGGCAGGGGGGACGCAGGCCCTCCCACTCCACTGCGTCCCAGCCCGGGGCCCTAGCAGTGGCGGAAACTCGCTGCTGTCAGTGGGGATCCTGGCCGCAACACACTGACATAGGCTCTGGCAGTGCAGCAGCCAGACTGGGGTTGGCTGCCCCCGGGCTACTTCCACACTCCCCCTTGTATGGTACCTGGGCCTTACTAGTGCCCTCGGTGGTCTCCACCAGCATCGGTTCCTCCGGGTAGGTAGCAAAGGGTAGGTTTGGCTCCTCCTCGAGATAGCTGGAAAGGGGCAGGCTCGGCTCCTCCTCTGGGTAGCTGGAAAGGGGCAGGCTCGGCCAGTCCTCCTCGGGGTAACGGGTGAGGGGTAGGCTCGGCTGGCCTGGTGAGTCCTCAGGCCGGTCGCAGTCTGCTGCTGTCTCCCAAGCGGGAGCTCGTCCACAGACGTCTGCTCTCTCCGGCGGCTTGTTCTCCACTGAGCTCTGTAGGCGGGCTTTTATACTTCCGGGTTGGCGCCGTGCCCTCTGAGGGGCGGGCGCCGGACCCAGTGGCTCCGCCCACGGTGTTAGGGGAGGTTCGGCCCTCAGCGGGGTTGTGGGGTATCCCACCGCCTCGTTACAAGGGTATTCAAGGTCGCTGCTTTTCCGGGGGGGGAAGGTTACATTCTGAGTGCTGACATTCTATCCCCTTTTGTGATTTTTTTTTCTATTGACAACAGTAAAATACTTTATTTACTATAGTGTCTTGCATACAAACGTCTGCAAAGCATTTTGGGATATTATAGTAACAGAAGCAGGAGACAGTATTTAAGAGGCAGTGGAAAAGAGATGTCAGATGAGATTTGAGAAGAGACAGAGAATA